GGAGTGCACCAGACACTCCAAAACCATTTTTTTTTTCATTCCACAAACTATGAACAGCAAGTCTTGGTATAAATCAATCTTGATAGTTAGAGTTCATGCTGAAGTTCACTCCTGAATCCTGTCGGTGATTTCACAACTTAGAATCCATTGCAGGAGTCTCATGTTCCATTTAAAGGATTTGCAAGGGCAACTATAAAAAACTTTTAAAAGTAACCATCTATTAAGCCAAGATGTTGTAAACTCAGTTACTCTAGAATTCATTACAAGTCCCATTGTTGCATTGCTAGAGGAATCTTTTCAAGTTTAGGGCAAAGTAAAATCTTTGATCAAATGCACACCTCCCAAGGTTATCAAAATGGTGGAGTTCATTTGAAAAACAATTGTCTTCAGATTTGAAAGTGCTTCAATTTGCTTTATTTCTCTTGTCCAGGTAGGGATTTCAGCTGGGCTGTCCGTCATCTTCAGTGTCTTCTCATTATGAGACTCAAGATGTTCTTCAGAAATGTCATATGTCAGTTGATCCCTCTCATCACTGAAGGCAGTAGGAGTTTGAAGATCACTCAGATGTTGGAGTATGGAAAGGACCCGATGTGAAGATGGACTTGTTGCAGATGAAGGGGAGAAAATAGAGAAATATTTGAGCTTTTAAACTGATTCCATGTTTTAATTGAATGTACATCTTATAGTGTTTTTGATAATTAAAAATTATATTTAAATTGGAGGATTTTGGATTGTTAGGGCACACAGGGCTGTAAAATGGCTCTTTCTTTAATTTTGCTGCAATAAGTTCTTCAATATTTTTCAAGCTAAATGAGCTTTTAAAGTTCTTCACTTGACTTAAGTCATTGCACTGTTTGATTTTGCGAAATGAAAGCCCTAAAGTGCACTAGTTTGATCTCAAGTGTGCGTTTGTCTCAGCTTTAAAATTGGTCCGCATTGTCATTTCCGAAAATAAAGGACAGTTTGATTTTGTATTTTTAGCTCTAAGGTTTTTATTAAAGAAAATGTTTCCGACGTGAACAAACATTTGACTCCACCTCCGAGGAAAACTGAAAAAGTGTAAATTTGCTCTGAATAGAGGCATTAGAGAACTGATGGAAAGACTGAGAAACATTTTCCCCAATTTTACTTACAAAATAAATACCTAGGAACTACTTAGAAAATTCTCGTTTCCCCATAGACTTTATACACAACCGTTTGAGTGAAGTAAGGGTGCAACTTCTTCCTGGGAAACATTTTGAGAAAGCTTAAGAGACAATTTGAATGAACCTGTAACTAGTAATGCAAAATAAACTCAACTTGTGACCTACACAAGGCTGAAAGACTGAGTAATTTGACTTCAATGTACCACACCCAGTTTTTATCTTGAGGAAAGGAAATTAAAATGTTGCCCTTGAAATTTTGTTCTTGAAGTCAATACTTACAGTTGTCAGTTGCCCACATATTGGACGATGATATAGAATTTTAGAAGAAATAAAGTAACTGCAACAAAATACATTCAGATCTTGTACATTCTGAGCGTCATAAGTATGGTGTAAAATGTACATGTTGTTGGCAACACTGGGAGACTCCGACAGCGTGATACTGTTTCACTAAAAACCCGTTGACGAAATGACGGGAATATACGCAATACTAATAGTTCTAGAAGACCACGTGATTGCAGGGAGCCAATAGAAGAAAGAGGAGGAAAGGTGTGGCGCGAAAAGAATAGGACGAACGGAAAGGGAACCCACGCGATCTGTCCTGACGAGGAATTGGAGGCGAATACCAGCCGTTTTGCAACTTATGATCCCGCTTCAACGCACGTACACAGAATGTACCTCGGCTGAAAAAGAGACCAATTCTTTTGTTGGATTCCTTTCTTCGGTCTCTCCCAAACAATAAAATGTTTCAAGGATTACGGAAGATTAGACGCCGCTATCTTTCGTTACGCTTGAGTGAACAACAAAGGGGAGAATTGAAGCAGAAAATATCGAAAAACTCGCCTTTAAAAGCAGTCCACACTACAAAAAGACACTTTTTGCAGAGGAAATTGAATAACAAACCGAACTATAGTTTCAAAATTTCAAAATTCTCCCGGACAAAAAAGTAGGTTTTTCAGGACTTGCTGGTTCCACGTTAAAACTTTCTCCTCTTCGTCGTTGGTGGCGCTATAACATAGAAAGCCCACAGTGCGATTGATATGCACGGTGCGCGCGTCAATGGGAAACACACATAGGCATTTCTCTAGCTCAGCGCACCCTTTTTTGTGTTTGTTTTGGCTTATGCAGGTGGGAACCAGTATTGCTCTGAAAAGTTTGGCAGTGTTCTTACGAAAAGTAGTAAAACTTTGTTTTGCTCGCAAGGAAAATGAACAAACAGAAACTCCAGTGCGAGCCAAAAATAACAGGTTATTCAGGATTTGCTTGAAACGGGGTGATTGGGGTACGCATTTTGTTTAACTTGAAGGAGAATGACTCATACGGGAAGGACAGCAAAATATTTAGGCTGCTTTTGATAATCTTGAAAAGGGGGACCTTTCTGAAAGTTTATAATAAATGAAAGTGTGAATTCTTTTTCTTGGATGTGAGCACAGCTTCACTCATGAAAACTGAACGAGCGGACTGGGACTTTCTTTACTATAGCGCCACCAACGTCGAATGGGAGAAAGTTTTCACGAGGAACCCACCAGTCCTGAAAAGCCAACTTTTTATTCCGTGCGAGTTTTTAAATTTTGAAACTATGGGCGGGTTTATTATGTGATTTCCTCTGCAAAAAATATCATTTTGTTGCTTTACGTGCTTTTAAAGGCGAGTTTTTCGAGATTTTCTGCTTCAATTCTCCCTATTGTTGTTCACTCAAGCGTAACGAAAGATAGCGGCGTCTAATCCTCCGTAAGCCTCGAATCTTTTTTATTGTTTAGGAGAGACTGGACAAAGGAATCCAACAAAAGAATTGGTCTCGTTTTCAGCCGAAGTACCATTCTGTGTACGTGTGTGGAAGGGGACAACAGCATGCAAAACGGCTCGTATTCGCCTCCAATTCCCGTAAGGACAGACCCGTGGGTTCCCTTTTCATTCATCCAATTTCTTTCGCGCCACACCTTTCCTCCTCTCTTTTTATTGGCTCCTTGCCATCACGTGGTCTTCTGGGACCATTAGTATTGCGTATATTCCTGTCATTTCGTCGGCGGGTTTCAGCCAAACAGTATCACACCGTCGGAGTCTCCCAATGTTCCTAACAACACGTGCATAAAATACACCTTACTATGACGCTCAGAATGTGCAAGATACATATCTTGATGCAGTTTCTTTAATATTTCTTCCAAAATTCTATATCATCGTCTAGTGTGAACAACTGGCTACTGTAAGTACTGACCTAAAAACAATATTTCCAAGGGAAACTTAATTTTTTTCCTCGGGAAAAACTGGGTGTGGCACATTGAAGTCGAATTCCTCAGTCTTACTGCCAGCCTTGTGGGGGTTGAGTTTATTTTTCATTCCTAATTGCTAGTTCACTCATATCGTCTCTTAAGCTTTTTCAAACGGTTCCCAGATAAAAAATGTTGCATCCCGACTCCACTTCAGCAGTCGTGTACAAAGTCTATGGGGAGTGAAGAGAATTTTCCAAGTATTTCCTAACAACATTGGAAAATGTTTCTCAGTCCAAAATTCATGTCGTTCCAGCATTTCTGTAATGACCGACTTTTACTGAGATGATATTTGATGAAACAACTGAAGTGGAGGCAGGATGCAACATTCCTGCCTCACTTCCAAACGATTAAAACTTGAGCAAATTAACAGGTGCTTTCTATTTTAATTTTCTTGGGTGGTGAAGGCAAATGTTTGTTCATTTGGGAAATAAAAAAGTAACGGCTTCAAATAAGAATCAAATTCAGACAATCATCCTAATAATGTGAATTACTTTTAACCTGACACAAACACTTCAGATCAAATTGATGCATTTTTTTGGCTTTAATTTCTTGAACTCAAACAGTATGATGACCATTGTCAAGTAAGAAACTTTAAAATGTTCATTTAGCTTTAAAAATATCATTTGGATAATTTATTGTGGCCAAATTTAACGGAAGGGTCCATATTACAGCCCCATGTGCTTCCTGATCAGAGAAAACTATCAAATCTAAATTTAATACATAGAATTCAAAGTTAACTTATATATTTCTCTATTTTTTCCCCTTCATCTACAACGAGTCCATCTTCACATTGGATCCTTTCCGTACTCCAACATCTGAGTGATCTTCAAACTACTGCTGCCTTCAGTGAGAGGGACCAATTGATGCATGACGTTGCTGAAGACATCTTGAACTCAGTCTCGTAATGAGGAGACACTGAAGACGACAGTGGACAGCCCAGCTGAAATTCCTACCTGGACAAGAGAAATAAAGCAAATTGAAGCACTTTCAAATCTGAAGACAATATTTTCAACTGAACTCTACTATTTTGATCGAATAGGAGATATGCATTCCGTAAACTTGACAAGTTTCCTTCAGCAATGCAACAGATTGACTTTTCAATGAATTCTAGAATAATTGAATTTAAAA